TAATGGCACTTTAGGGCAATATTAGGGATCATTGTTGTGTCTACTAGGCACTCTAGAAATACAGTACCTGCATAAACCACCCCAAATATTCTGTAGCTTTTTTCAGAGAAATGTGTAGAAGCGGAGCTTCGGGCACGTATGAGTTCTGTTTGGGGACCAGTTGTAGCGGTGGTTATGATGATCTAGCTGCTTGTAGACAAGAGCTTTCCAGAGGCCGATTTGCAACATAGGCAACATAGGCATTTTTTTAACTCATGTTTTTAATTGGCTGTGCTGTGCTGAATTTTGTAGAGAAATTAATACACTAAGGTAAGCTATGAAATTCTAATGATGCACTGGTAAAAATATATAGAACTCAGTGGTTTCTTTCTCTTTTTCTTTTAGGAAACAAGTAGTGTAGTATGCATCCCTGAATCCAATCATTAAGGTAGAAAATACTTAAATATGCTTTGATTGACAGTTTCTAGGAGCACCGATGTGGGAAAAGATGCTTTTTGTCAGCCCCACATATAATTGTAATTCTCGTTGAAATTCTTTCTGTAAATAGGTTGATGCTGGGAATATAGTTTGAGAAGCTCACATGCTTTCCTGAAATTTATGCTTCCCATGATGGCAATAAATTACAAAGCTCATGTTAAGTGCCTTCGAGTTCTCAGAATACAGAAGTAGATTTTTCCTTCAGACGCTTACTGTCATTCTGCATCTGCGAAGTTTGTTACTTCTACACAGAATGGAAAGCAAATATAAAACTGCTGCATTTTTGTAATTTTATAGATGTTTTAATTCATCAACAATCTAGCAATATATAGATACCATTTATGGTATCATTGATGGTATTTCTAAATACATACTAACTTTAGCACAGTTTTATTTTGGCTGTGAAAGTGTAGCTTCATCTCTTAGGTTACATCTGCCTAAGAACTAGATGTGTACCACTGTGTCCCATCCCACTGAAACCACTATCCTCAAGTAACAAAGGGTAAAGCTTCTACTTTAATTAGTAAAAATTAACACTGGGATTGTGTTTTTCTGTGACAGAAGTGTCTTTTATGTGAAAAGCTCTTGATTAACAAAACTCCAATGAGGTTTCTGACGATAGAGGAAGTGGGCTTACGTATCAAAATATGTATTGCTTTCAAATGTAAAATGTTTTTAAATTAATAGTTTAAAAATTACATAAATTTTAAATAGCAAAAAAAGAAAAGATTTTACTTTCCTGATAAGTCCATTACCAACTCAGCAACATCACTCTTGTGACATGGGTGAAAAACTAGGCAATACAAGTCTTTGTGAAATATCATGGATCCACACCCAAAGAACAGAAAATCATACACCGTACCTCTGGCAACATAAAAAAATGAACAGCAATAATGCTATTTTGTTTACATTGCTTCATTACTTAGCATTTGGTTCTTTCTAAAAATGCATTACCACTTCATTATTATTATTTACTTTTGTTGTAAACCTTGTTTTGGTCTTTGGAGAGGTTGAAGAAACGGAGAGATTGAAGAGCTCCAAAATGCAAAGAATACAAAAGAGCATTAAAGTTTCCCCTATGTCTCCAGCTGTGTTGCTGCCTTCAGCACAGGTGTAGGTGGTGAGTCCCCAGTGCCTGCCAGCAGTGCTGGTTCTCGATCACGGCATTGCTGCTCTGAACTGCAGTATCTGGAGAGAGTGAAAATCCCCTGCAAAAGAGTCCCACTTTTCTCTCTGTCTTGTAGTCTCAGACACCAGCTTCAATATCCTTGTATCACTCTCTTTTCAATTATTAGTTTTAATTCTGTGCACACAGCAGTGAAAAGAGTGTAATAGTGGTGACAAAAAGGGGAAAAGAACCATGAAGCTGTTATAATTCTATAAATGGTTGATAAATAATGCCCAGCTTTCTATGAAAAACCTTGCACCTCCATATCAACTTCAAACCATCAGACATAAAATGGAAAACTTCAGTGAAAACTTGCTGGTTGGAGAGGAAAAGTTCTTTGAAGTCCACAAAGCAAATACTCAGAATAAAAACTATGCTATTAATTTTTTTAAGCAGTTGTAGGGTAGAAATAATGCCGCTGTATGAAAACAAGATTGCTGCCTTACTAAGATCTTGCCCAATATTTCCTTATCTTCCCAGCTGAAACAGTCTTAGCTTTCGTAGGCAATGTATGTTGCACATGGATAAACGAGGGCTTCCAAAGAATGGGTTGGTGCTGAAGATATTGATAAGGTATTCTATTATTTCTGGCAGTGTTTTTGATCCACACTAGCTTTAAGACTATTACCTGTGCCATTTCAAAGATTTTACATGGAAATGTTGGACTGGATCTAACAGCGGGTTATGGCGAAATAGTCCAAAGTGTTTGAAAAAATACAAATATAAATAACAGAAGTTACTTTAAAATAAGGCTGAATTTTGGTTTAATATTGACAGTTGCATGTTTTAGTAATGCGTACTCCTTCTTGATGTCCAAAACATTCATTTTTGGCACAATTCATTCCATTCAGGAATTGTATGGTTTTTCTAGTTTTCTTTATTTGCCAGTGCTTAAGAGTACAGAAGCCCAGAGACTGACCTTGCGTATAATTCGAAGTATGTTCAGGAGCAGCTTGAACATCTTGGAAACAGTGCATGTTTCAGCTCTACTGTTTCAAACTTCCTGGCCGTGTTGAGGTTTGATTTCAGTATGCTTTAAATAATAATAGTTTTCCTGCAGGTCTGGCTGAAAAGAAACATCATGAGCAGTGCAACATTAAATAACACAGGTTTTCTGAAATTTGGGGTGAGTATCTTTAGTGATAAATATAAATCAGTAAGGGGACTTTGAACCTACTCTGTACTGATGGGGGCTGAGATAACTAAGTAGTTAGAGATGTGCCCTCATATTCCACTGCGTGTTTGTGCAGTCTTTGGGTGAGGGTAGTGGCCATCCCTTTGAGCTAGCAGGCCAGGTAGGTGGAGCTGTAAGTAATCTGAGTCTTTTAAGGGTTAATTTTATCTATGTTTGTTTTGGTGTAGGTTTTTGAAGGCTGCTGGGTGGTTTTAATTTTAAATTAAAAATTTAATTAATTAAAAATTAGAAAATTTTAACTAAATGACTTGAAATTCCACTCCCTGGGATAAAGGTTTAGAATAGAACAAAAGAATAAGGGAAAATTGACTTGCCTTTTGCTGACAAGAATGTTACAAATAACTCATTAGCTAGTGGTATTGAGACATCAGAGGTGATAAAAAGTATCTGCACATGGTTTTATTTAATTTATGTAGATATAGAAATACTGTAATAATTTGGGGGGGTTTTGTTACGTGGTGTTTTGCAGTTTCACAGTGGTGACTGAGAATCCAAGCTGCCTGCCATTGAAGCTGAAGAGGCACAGGCTTTTTGCATGCTTGTTTTCAGGGGGACTTGCTATCAGTCTGATTTCTGTTAGAGATTGTTTAATGAAAATATAATTGCAGAAGAAATGGTACTAATTAGCACATATGTGCTCCCACAAAGTGCAGCTTATTCCCATTCATTATGGACAAGAGTGTGAACTGGATCTCTTACAGCCATCCTGGAAACACTCCCAGTGCAAGAACGCTCCTGGGACCTTGTGCCTATCTGCAAGCGAAGGAAAAGGAAAAGTTGTTGGTATCTTCCCTGGCATAGTTTTATTCTTACCGTTTATTCTGGCAAACACACCACTTCTTGCATGTTCCCCTGTGGCCCAAGTATTGGATGTAAGTGAGGTAAATGACTTTGCATTTTCCCTTTATGATAGAGGAGTTGCATCCCACATTAACAAGTCTTAAGAACATCTGTGCACTGTTAACTCACATACTGATTATATATGTTTCCTGGCTAATATATAGGCAAAACATATGAAGAAACAGTGGAAACTCTTTCATTCAGAAATCGAAGCTTTGCAGTTGTGAGTTGATTTTATGTTTTAGCTTTTCCTTTTCACGTTAACTTCTTGCCAAGCTGCATGTAAACCTCCTTTGTCTAGAAAATGCAACCTTTTCAAGAGTAAAATATTCCAAGTGTTAGCTGAAACCGGTCTTAATAGTGCTATTCTTCTGGCTTCATGCCTATGGAAGTGGTTAATGGTTGGAATTTATGTCACAGAACACATAATAATTTGTTAGAAGAAACTGGATTCAGTCACAGCACAGGCATTTTTCTCTTCCTGTCATTATATTTTGTGAGGACTTACTTATTTCCTGCAATCTCAGCCCATGTGAAGAAGAGAATGATAAAATTTCTGCATAATTTTTCTGAGAATACATTTATACTCCAGATGACCTTTGGAGTAAATTTGAACTATTAGATTTTCCCACATATTTATAGCTTTGGCCGTGCATCTTTGCCAGCAAATCTTACAGGCTTTATCCACCAAACATTTATTTATGGTAAAAAAACAATTTGCACTTGGAACACTATAGAAAAAGTTCAAAGCCATTACATTCAAAGTTAAGCTTTCCTTTATAGTCTTATTTTTTCTGTATTGTCATCAGCCAATGTTACATTGAAATTCATAACACATTTATCTAAGATGACTCTTTACTTCATTTAATGCCTTTCTGTGCTGATATCTATCATCTGTGAAAGTGATTTTCCTGAGACCACACTGGCGTATATAAAATACTGGTCCTAGCGATCAAGGATTCAAAAGCTACCTTATGCCTAGGTTTCTCCATCCAAGCTTGCTTGAACTAGATGGATATTTCTCAGAGAATGGGCGGTTCTGCTTTATATATAGAAAAAATAATGTGGAAATCTTAATCTACAAATAAATACTGGAAATTCCATTTTGTGTCAGACTTTATAAAAATATGTGCTTATGCCATAAAAGGTATCCTGTTGTTGACTACATTAAAATATATTCCCAAATAAAAAAATGTTTGCTGGAGAGTACTTTTGGTTTGAGAATTTGATCTGGATTTGCGTTGGGGCTTTTCTGCTTCCGTGTGTGGCTACGCAGTGCTCTGTACATCATGCCACACCGTGGGACACCAGGGCTCTTACGTTACTCCCGCCCTGGACAGCATCCACATAAGCTGGTTCTCGGTAGATATCACCAAATGATGCTCCTGAAGAAACCTGGAGGGTGGAGAAAGGAGGAACACTCGCATGCGGTCGAGCAGAGGCCCCCACGGAGAAATTCCTCCGGGTACTGGGTCCAGCGACAGACCGTGCTGGGCAATACGGCTGTGTTACTGGTGTGCAGCACGGAGGAAGTGCTGCTCTCCACAGATTTACATTAACTCATGGTTTCCTTGAGCAGTGACCGTGAACGTGTGTTAAGGCCCCAATTCACCAGTGCCATTAAGAACTGTTTCTTTTTAAACATACCTTCAAGTCTGGTCTCAAAATATACATTTAAGTGCTTTGCTGAACTGGGGATTAAGTGTAGCACCTGTGTTATTTTATACACTGGGTTTATGCACCGCAGGCATTGGAGAGGGTCAAACAGGAGATCATTTATCCTAATTACTGTGATGTAAGAGGAGCAGCAGGGGGTAGAGAAGCAAAAAGTTCTTTAATCCTGCCATGTACAGAACAAAAACATTTTCAGCACCCTTTCAAGACGTATGATGGCGCATAATCTCCCACGTCTCTGTCAATCCTTTTATAACTGCACTGAGAATGGATTTGCCCTGTCAACATGAGTTGAGGAACCCTTGTTGCCGATAATTGAAACCTGCAATAGCAATACGTTTTTCCTAACATTAAATGGGCTTCGAAAGCCTCCAGTACAACTCAGTGTAAAACAGTCTTCATTACTGCTGGTCTTCATACCAACCCAATCTCGTCAGTGTCTGTTTTAAGCATTTGTTTTTTGTAAAGGTAAGAAAAAGAAGGTGTTGAGAGTCTTGGTATTGCAAATACATTTGTACTTCTTCAGCAGTATTGTAATAATTTGTACTGAAAAGCCCTCTGCAAATGTTGCAAGGTTATTTCTTAATTTCGATGACAAAACTCAGCTGTGTGGCACTGAATGAAGAAAAACAAATTAGACCGTTCAGGTGGAGGGAATGTATAGGAGACTCTACATCAAAGCCCTTCAGTGAATATCCAGCCTATATTCAAAAGCAGAAGGGTAGCAATTATCATATGGTGGGCTTTTTTAAGTTTGCCATTTACTGTTGTGCTTTTTGAAGTGGAATTTTTGTATTACACAGAGCACATATTTAGTTACAGTGCCTCTGTTTTTATCGTGACGGTCTCTCACTATCCTGGCAAACTTGTCTGAATATATTAATAGGAATAGCCGAAGCTTTTCAGTATTTGCATACTATCCAGCCCTGCCCCATTGTATGTGTCAGAATAGCAAGGTATGTCATAGAAATGACATTTTCACACATGCTGTATAGTCTGCATACACAGACAGAGCAGCAGGAACCAGCATGGCATGACATGCATTTAGAAAGCAACCGCTCTATGGAGTATAACCGCTTACTTCCATCAAAACTTCTGGGTTTTCAAATCTTTGGGTAATAAATAATTTACTTAGTGTTGCCCAGTCGCCTAGTTTTGTGAAGAGCCCTTACAGGAATAAAAGCCATTAAAGTGACCTAGTTCTGCATCACCGGACCTCGCGTCAGCCCAGGGCTGTCAGCCCCTGCTCCAGCTACGGTGTAGGTGACCCCAGACCCCGACTCGCAGACCGGTTTTCCAGCTCGGCCTCAGACCTGTCGTGCCACCCCAAAAGCATCTGGCAGCGGGGCCGGGGGATGCGCCGGCCGCCCCCCAGCCTGCCCTGCTCCCTCGCTGGGTCGGGGACTGTGGGGACCCCCCGTGGGTCCTGGCACCCTGGCCCCTTGCGGCGACTGTGGGTGCTCAGTCCTTCCCTAAACACTGGGCGGGTGAAACCTTGATCCTCCTCGAATTTGTGTTGAGCTCAGTGACCCTGTGAGCGGGAGTCATGGTGTACCTGCGGAAGAGTCATCGTAAAACAAGGGGCTGAATTTTGCGGTTACAACCATGGTTGAAGCTTCATGGCTATTCTCGGTTACATGAATGAAAAAATTGCGCTAGTAGATGGTAATCGCTTCTGTCGACTCCGCGTACCGTGAATTCAGAGGGAGGGATTTTACGGGAACTACTAATACACAAAGATTGGCTTTTTACATGAGGCCAAGTATTTGGAATTTAAGGTCAAAAAGGAATTTGGTTTTGGAAGTTATGAACAGCTGAAGAGAGAATTTAGAATGGAAGCAACTATTACATTAGCCACGCACTACTACTAATAAATACTGAGTGGTGCGGTTAGGCACTAACCCAGTGTATGCTTATTTTAAGCATCTGCTCAGCTTGAAAAAATTTAAGGAATCTCACTGAAAGTGATAGACTTTTTCAGCTTGTTCTTCCAGCATGTACATAAATGGGGTTGCTTCACTGGAGCTATAATGCACAATAAAATAGTAATATAATAAACAGGAATAATTTGATGCATTAGGAAAGTGTAAGCATTGAATTTCCTTTGCCTGATATTTCACCCTCCCTCCCTTCTTTCTCCCCCTGCCCTTTTCCCATATATAAGCTATATATATACATCTTTGTATAATTCCAGTACAAACATACTTTTGGATGACCGTAATCAACCAAAATTATTGGATTTTGCTGTGTCATGTATGAGATCCCATGTGGTACTTCAGATTTGCACTGATAGTGTGGATACCAGTAAGTTCTGGAGATACTTGCCAGAGGAGTTATTAAAATGGGACAAACCCTCTGTAAAATTGTGTCTACAGCTGTGGAATAGCAAATATCAACTTTTGTAAACTGATAAACAAATCTTTTTTCTGAATTACCTGATTGTGAGAGGGGATGATCTTAATCTTTTAGCATTATTTGTTTTAATGTTAAATATTATGCAATGATTTTACCATTATAAGGAATTTAAGCAATAAAGAATAAAATAAATTGCTAAAGAAAGGTAACTATTAAAAGATATTTAATAGTTATAGTTGGTTATTCGTGGTTTATCAATATTTTATGATCTCAAAAAATAACGTAACTTTATTTTATACTATTTTAGGATATAATGGAAGTTTTGACAGGCTTTGAAGCAGAGAGAGAGTCCAAAACACTCTGTTGGTGAGAGTCATGGTTCAAAAAGGCATGTTATGTTCCTAATTTTCTTATTTTTAAATGTAACTAGGTTATACTTTTTCTCTGGCCAGAAAGACATGATGGTGAACATGATGGAGAAAAGCAGCTTTGATTCATGCCTTGAAAATAGTTGGTCTAGTATGTCAATGTACATCATGTGCAAAGCTGAGGTCCACAGTGGGAGAAGTTGGTATGAGACAATAACTTTTGTGATTAAAATGGTATTTCACAACAGTAGGAGAAAGCCAAGGACAGGATCAAAAGCTGGGCACAAATGACAGCACGGTCTCTGCCAATTAAAATCAGATACCAATAACAGAAGTTGGGAAGATGATCAAATATATATAATGTAATTTTTTGTATTTACTGGTCTTTTCAAAAACCCCATTCATTTTCCCCAACTGCCTCTCTGTCACATGCTGTATCAGGACTATATGGATTTGGGCACCAGTATTGCTAATGTGCTGGCCGGCACTGATGTCTGTGTGTGGAGTGGGAAGAGCTCCCAGCCATGCTGCAGATACTCTGGAGCAGCGCGTGTGGACCCTGGCCTATGCAAGAACTGTCTTAATATTCTGGCTTTAGAGATTGCCAGCGCGGTAATGGTGCAATGCCTTCACTTCAGCTGGTTACTTTGCAATCCTTCATTTAAGTTAGGTCAAGGTAGAAGCAGCTAAGAATATTTCTGCATATAAAGTTGAAGCAGATCACATAGCTACAAAGACCTGTGAAGACACAACTGGCTTAAGGATCACAGGATCACAAATTCAGGCTGGCAGGGAGCTCCGGAGGTCTCTAGTCCGACCTCCTGCCCAAAGCAGGCTCAGCTGTGAGATCAGACCAGGTTGCTCAGGGCTTTGTCTAGACTGGTTTTGAAAACCTCCAAGGATGGCATCTGCACAACCTCTCTGGGCAACCTTAGCCCTGCCCGCCTTGTCCCTCCTGGTGAAAAAGGTCTTCCATATAGCCAGTCAGAACCTCTTCTGTCGACTTAGGCTCCTTGTCTCTTGTCCCTTCTCTGGGCACCGCAGGGAAAAGCCTGCCCCTGTCTTCTTGACAACCTCCTCACAGGACAGCTGCTGTAAGGTCCCCTGAAATCATCTCTTTCCCAGGGTGCAGAAGCCCTGGTCTCTCAGCCTCTTCTCACGGGGCAAGAGCTCCAGGCTTGACCGTCGTGGTGGCCCTCTGCTAACCTTACTGCAGTTCATTGGTCCCTCCTTCTTGTATTGGGGGACCCAGGTCTGGGCGCCGTATTCTAGATGCAGGCTAAACCCCATTTGGGTTTAGTCAGATCACTCCTCTGATCTGTCTCAGCCGGAGGCTGCAAAAGCACTGGTGCCAGCCCACGGCAAGGAGGAGGCCCACGCCGGTGAGGGCAGACGTGCCCGTGCTGGCAGCAGCGTGCGCTGAGAACAGCTTACCCGGCTCTTGCGCAGTGCTGGAAAAGGCGTCAGCTTGGGGCTGCCCGTGAGGACAGTCTCTTCTTCTTGCATTGGCAAGGCTCTTTGGCACTAATGAGCCTCGGGTTCCCTTTTCCATCTGCACCCCAATTTTTGTGCAACCCCTTCCACACAAGGGTTGTATTTCCAGAAGAAAACCTCAGGTGGCAGCAGCATCATAGCTTTTGTGTAACCTTCGTGCAATTCTTCCTTGTGCCACCAGTCATTAGACCTTGTTAACGAGGGGCCCTTGTGCTTAACAACATTATTAGCAAATCATCAGCCTATCGAAGAGCGAAAGTGGTTTTTTCCTGGCTGATTTAGTGATGCACAGATCTCATGTGGAAGTTCTGCATCCGTGTTTTATATATTCATGCAAATGACGCATACTTTTATATATTCATGTAAGATGAATTTGGGTTACTTCGGGTTGGTAATGTGTTTGATCTGAGTTAAAACTCTTAGAGCACTCTCTGAACAATTTTCTGTCATCTACTTTAAGCTAGGTAGTCGTCCACTTTCTGATTTCTTGTGTGTGACCACATGTGACCGAAAAGGAGGGAGGAAGGTATTCAAGGGATCGCTAAAAGGGCAGTAGGGAATACAGACAGGAGGAATTTGGGAGTAGAACAAGCAACAAAAAGTTAAAAGGAAACATGGTGAGAGATGTAGGAAATCAGACAGAGAATGCACAAGGGAGGGAAAACTCGAGCCTCATTGGAATAAGAGTTGTTTCTCACAGCGGCATTTTTGGGGCTCTTGAACACCTGCACTTCCCTTGCACTGTTTCAAGATACAGTGTCACAGAGATCAGCTTTGGGATTTCCTGCTATTCTCACTTGCAATGACTGTCTCTCCATCTAATTGGTTTTTTTAGGCACGGGACACTAGAAAATTCTCTCTATACTTTCAGTTTCACTGCCAGTCAGCAACGATCTCTGAAGTCTTTCACATCGTTTCCTCTTTCAGGCGCTTGCCATTAAAGTATACCTGTAGAAAACAATAAGCACCAAACCTCTCTGTTCTCTCCTTCCAAAACAGACAAGTGAGCAAAGAACATTCCTCTTGAGCATAACGGTTTTGAAGTCACATTCGTGTGACTGGACAGAAAAAACAGTTTAAGGCTGAGCAGAAAAGTTGCAACTGAAAGAGGACTGGCAATGGGCTGTTTCTCCAGCCTGGCCCCAAAAAGACCAGGCTTCCTGACACCCACAAGAGCTTGCGACCTTCTTTTACTTGAGTGCAGCATCAGAACAAGATCATCATGGTCTTACTGGAGTGAAGAATGGACGCCAAATGACATCAGCTCCTTCTCCACTGGAAAATAAAGAATATAGTAAATTTATTCAGTTTTAATGGTCTCTGAAGTATTTGGGTACATCTGCTACATTTGATAGTGATTACAGCAGTGTCTTTGATGCTGCAGTGTCCATCTGTTTATGTCACCTTGGCCTGGTTTAGGCACAGGCGAAGGCGTTATTTGGAGAAGCGCAGGGGCGTAAGGTGGCTGAAGGTCTGAGAAAGGGGCAGTCCCGCTCCCTGCTGCTGCTTTAACTGTGCCTCAGTGCGGCACTAGAAGGGGGAGTGGAGAACTTCAGCCCTAGCTGTATCCTCTCTGCCCAAGACGAGGATGAGAAACAGGGGAGTAGTTTGCACCCCCATGTACCGTCTGGTGCTGTACGGGATTTGCGACGGGAAGGAACGGGTGGCAGACTGCATCCACGGCATTGCTGTTCTAGAGACTGCTGCCGAGTGCGGGTAACGCCGCTGCTCAGCACTGTTTGCAGAATGCATCCAGGAAGCGGAGAAATTCGGATGGAGCGACGTCGTGTAGTGTTAAGATGCCGGCGGCGCCTCAAAGCTGGTGCTTTTTTTCAGTCTGGTGGGTGATCTCAGTACGCTGGTCTCCCACGCCAGCATCCAACAAACACGGCGTCTCATCATGCAGCAGGCGGGTGGGTGAGCAAGGCCAGATGTCTCAGGTGGTGCCCCGAGATGCAAGGGATGCCGAGGCACCGGGTTGTGTGCTTTTGCGTACTCTGCAGAAATACAGACACATTCTCACACTCCGTCCAGCTCGATGTCATCCCTGAGCAGATCCTCCTTGAGTCCCTGTCGCTGAGATCAGCCAGGCTCTGACCGGGGAGAGGTCCCACAGCAGGGCTACTCAAGCTGTGGCACAGCCGAGCACGGCCGCAAAATTGGCTGCCTCTCCTGGACCAGCGCTGCCGAACCTCAGTGCAGAGCGGAGCCGGGGTCTGACTCCCGTTCCATCTGCTGAGCAAATCCTCCTCCAGCAGCCCCGCACTCGCACCGGAGCCTTCTCGCCTGAACCGCTGCTGGTGGCGTGTAACAGACATTTTCTTTGGGCAAGACGGTAGGTGATTTTGCGTCGCACATGAAGTAGGTGAGGCTCTGGTTGCTTCAGTACTGGAAAGAATGGGATGAAGAGTAAAAGAACCTCACAGTAGCATAGTGACAGTTTTCTGAAAACTTCAGGGTTATTTCTAAGTAATATACATAGAAATAGCCGCTTTAAAATTAGTTATTCACTGGAGATTATTTTATGTCATTTTATAAAGGCACAGCCTAATTAAAATACAATTGCCAGTCTGTTAAATACCTGATTTGCCCATATTTCTTTATGTTTGATTACTATGAAGCACAGTATTTTAAATGGTGAGTTGACTTCAGCATGGGGTTTATATTAATGTATAATTGTTGGGTTTACTTATATTTGTGAGGAGAATTGTGAGATTTCCCTGGACAGCCTAACAGGTATTTTGCATAAACTGATTGCCTGCCATTTTAAGCTTGCATAACTCCTTCCAGTTTCGGAAGAAATAATTGCAAACCTTCTAGAATCACATGCATTCATTACATGTGAATTGGCACTTTTATTTAATTTGTGTCTCTTACAAGGTGGTCTGTGCTCCCGCACGCTGCATCTTGTTCTTGCATATTCTGAGGAAAAGTTTCTCTAAAGCATCAATTAAGTCACTCTAAAATATGAGGCAGCCTACACAGGCTCAGGGATTTGGAGAGTGGGAAAAGGACTTAACTCCCAATAAGAAAGCTAAACTGGTTCGAACATAGAAAGGAGAAATATTTGGATGAATCTGGAGTGTACAAAGTGACTAAAATTGGGTTCTGGAAGGTTTTTTTCTGTTGCAGTGGGAGGACTACAGAGTCACAAATGGATGTAAAAACAGGAGCCCCAGGCAAACGTTGTTCCCTTGCGATGCGTGATAGGGAAGGCGGGTGAGGAAGCCCAATGTCTCCGGCCTCCTCTGCAGTGGGAAGTTTTAGAGCTGTTTTAGCAATGTGGAAATGGCGTCGGTGCTTAAAATGGAGCAAGAACTGCTATAGACAGGCTCCGGGTGCTTTTACAAGGTGCCACAGAAATCTGTCCAGATCAGGTCCCCACGTCCCAGCAATCAAAATCCACCTGCTCTGCTGCTGGGCTCCACCAGCGGGGTGCGGCGCTGGGAACTTCAAACGGAAAAAATCAGAGCAAATTCTTGCTGTCTGCTGCCCAGGGCATGGGCCTTTGAGACACCGAAGGAACTGCCAGGAGCTCGTGTATGACCAGCATATGTTTAAAACAACAGCCATGGTGCGAACACACCTTCAGGCCAGTATGGCCCAAGGAGCCACGTAGACGATTTCAGATACATAATTAGTCTCTCCAACTTCAGCAAGACTTCTCAAATGCTTGATATTTCAAACATGTTTTAAGTGTGGGCCAGTGTCACAAAACTGTGACAGCTTGACATCCCATGCATGACTGATTTGTGACAGAGGTGGCAGAGTGGCCAAGTGCTTTAAAAGGCTCTGTTTTTCCATCCCCTCTTCCCTAGAGGAAGGGGGAGCATCTTTCTCCAGAGAGACATGGTTTTATAGTCCGTCTTTTACTAATTACTCAGATGCAGTGATAATCGGTGCACACACACATACATGCATATTTTTCTTTTTCTATGTCAATAGTTATACTTAATTTTTATACATATACAGAGAAATAGCAAAGTCACAGAAATGCAGCACAGAGAATAAACGAGTCCTACAACAGTCAGGACAGGCTGTGCTCTGGAGCCTGCAATGGGAAGGTGTGCCAGTGCAGAACTTCACGGGTTTCAGTGAGATGGCGTCATAACCCGACCACCCTGAGCGGTTGTGTGTTGGTAAAGGCTCAGGCTCTCAGGCAGGTCTGGATCACAACAGTGCCCAGGTCCGCCCCGGCTGCCTTACTTCTGCCCAACTGTTTGAAGTGGGTACATGTGCAGTACCAGACCAATGTCCATAAGACAATGTTTGCAAACAGGAGATAAAAGAAGTACCCATGGAGCTCCAATAGGGAGAGAATGAAACCAATCAAACATTGAAATTGCCAATATATGTATACTTTATTCAGCATCTAAATACTCACTAATGCTTGCTATGTTGCATTTAACAGATCTAACTCTATTCAAATAATCATTGATAAAGACAGTTATATATCCAGTGGTGACAAGAAAAATGATAATACAAATAACACTCATGAGTGCAATTAAGGTGACCGGCAATGTCATATGGTCAAGTGCCCCTGGCTGGGAGGATGTCACCATGTTAGTGAGATCCTCAACTGGCTCTATCCTAAAGTCAGCTTTTACAGAGTTGCTTTACCTATGTGCAATTACTTGCAGCTGTGATGTGAAAACAAGCCACAAACCGCAGGCCGGCTTTTGTAGAAGTATATCAAGTTCGGCAAAGCAAATCGGTTTCCATCCTTCAGAGTCAGGTGCCTGCTGAGGCGAGAGGCTCGGGGTTTCCTGTTGGCGACGTTTGCAAAGGAGGGGGGGTCGGTCACCTTTGGTCACCACAGATGGCATATGCATTCTTTGCACACGAAGATTTTAAATGGGGTGGGAGAGGATACACTGCAAGGAAAGACATAAGGAACAAACAAAACAGCACAAACTTGGTGCAGCACGGAGATGTGTGTGCTAACACAAGTCTATGTAAAAACACAGTTGAAAGCACAACACATCACATCACATAGGTGCAATTAAAGCTGC